AATCAATAATTTCCGAAGCAATTCGTAGCCATCTTGATAGGCACAAATTGATTAATGAATCTCAACATTGTTTTACAAAGGGGCGTTCCTGTCTTACGAATTTACTAACTTTTTCAGTAAGGTGTTTGAGGAGGTAGATCATGGTAATGAATATGATATTGTGTATATGGACTTCAGTAAGGCTTTCAATAGAGTTCCACATCAGAGGCTATTGAGGAAACTTAAGGCACACGGAATAGGAAGAGAAATTTTTTCCTTGGTAGAGGCATGGCTGACAAATAGGCAGCAGAGAGTTTGCATAAATGGGGGGAAATCAGAATGGGGGCACGTCACAAGCGGTGTTCCTCAGGAGTCAGTGTTGGGCCCATTGTTGTTCACAATTTACATAAACGACATAGATGAGGGAATAAATAGCGACATAAGCAAATTTGCTGATGACACCAAAATAGGCCGTCCAATTCATTCTAATGAGGACACTAGAGCACTCCAGGATGATTTGAATAGACTGATGCAATGGTCAGAGAAGTGGCAGATGCCGTTTAATATTGACAAATGCAAAGTTCTAAATGTTGGACAGTTAAATAACCATGCCACATATAAACTAAATAATGTAGATCTTAATTCTACTGATTGCAAAAAGGATTTAGGAGTTCTGGTTAGCAGTACTCTAAAACCAAGACAACAGTGCATTAGTGTTTGCAATAAAGCTAACAGAATTCTTGGCTTCATATCTAGAAGTATAAATAATAGAAGTCCTCAGGTTGTTCTTCAACTCTGTATATCCTTGGTTAGGCCTCATTTAGACTATGCTGCTCAGTTCTGGTCACCGTATTATAGAATGGATATAAATGCTCTGGAAAACGTACAGAGGAGGATGACAAAGATGAGCCCATGTATCAGAAATCTTCCATATGAGGATAGACTGGGGGCCCTGAATTTGCACTCTCTAGCAAGGCGTAGAATTAGGGTTGATATGATCGAGGTGTATAAATGGAAAACAGGAATAAATAAAGGGGATGTAAATAGCGTGCTGAAAATTTCCTGCCAAGACAGGACTCGCAGCAATGGTTTCAAGTTGGAAAAATTCAGATTCAGGAAGGATATAGGAAAGCACTGGTTTGGTAATAGAGTCGTGGATGAGCGGAACAAACTCCCGAGTACAGTTATTCAGGCTAAAACGTTGTGTAGTTTTAAAAATAGGTTAGATAAATACATGAGTGGGTGTGAGTTGGACCTGACTAGCTTGTGCTGCTGGGTCTGGTGCCGTGCTCCATCCTTGAGTGGAGGTGACCAGACTGGGTGGGTCATTGGGCTAATCCAGGGGGGTGGGTCATTGGGCTAATCCGGTGGAGGGGGGGGGACATGGACCTGCTCTGCATGGGTCAGTAGGCCTGTTGCAGTGTTCCTTCTTTCTTATGTTCTTATTATTCAGAGGGCTGAGGAGGGATTTTTGAGGTAGTTTGGCCATTTAGAAAGGATGGAGCAAAATAGGATAACTTGGAGGGGTGTTATATCTGTCTATTGGGCTGGTCTAGTAACTTGTCAGTAGGTGAGCTATATGGCCATTTTCTAGCTTCTTCTTTATTGGAATATTGGGGTTAACAGCAGGCAGTGAGAGGTGTGCCCAAGCCAATCCAGAAGGGTCTCAGAGTGAGAGAGAGGCATGGCTGGGTATGTCTAACTTGAGGACCTACCTTCTGGTGGGCACTCAGGGAACTAGGCCCACAACAACTCACTCCAAGGGGGGACTATGATAACTAGACAGTAGGCTCACTGTCTACAGGGGTAGGAATTGTCCTAGGAAAGGATGGAGGGTGGCGGTAAAAGAGTTTTTTTATGCAAGGGTTTTGGGTATACAGCAGGTACATACGAGTGTTTTAGATAGGAATGAATGGAGACAAATAGTTTTTGAGACTTGATGAGCTGTTGGAGTGCAAGCAGGGTCTTGGAAATATGAAGTACAATGCCTGCATTCTAAAGGAAGTGTTTGGGATATTTGCTGTTAAGAGTGACATCTAAACTATCGTATCTGCACACCTCTGCAAAGACATTGATAGTGTAAATGATGGTGATTTTTTTTTTGTCACTCCTCAGTAGGAAAAGGCCAGCATGTTAAAAAAAAAAAAAAAAGAAAAGTGTATAATTCAGAAGGCTGAGGAGATGTTGAAGTGGTTTGGGGATATGGAGAAGATAGAGAAGCATAGGTTGACAAAGAAGGTGTATAAATCTGGGGTGGAAGGTAGGAGAGGTAAGTGTCATTTCAGGAATGGTTGGAGAGAGTATTACTTGTAGAGAGGATGGAGAGGGATAAGTTGACAGATAGGGTGTATATATCTGGGGTGGTAGGTAGGAGGGGTATGGGTTGTCCCAAGAATGGTTTGAGGAAGGAGGTAAAAGAGGCTTTTGAGTTTTAAGGCTTGAACATCCAGCTGTTTGTTAACAGGAGTGAATGAGACAAGTGTTTTTTTTTTTAATGGATGTGCTGCTGGAGTGTGAACAAGGTAACTTTTATGAAGGGATTCAGGGAAACCAGTTTGCTAGGCTTGGGTCCTGGAGGTGGGAAGGACAGTGTCTGCACTTAGTTAAAAGATGGAGGTGTTGCAGTCTGAGGGTAATGTGAATTGCTATATCAGCACACTTCTGTAGACACTGATGGAATGGATGATGGTAAATATGTTCTGTGGGTCACTCTGCCTTGGTGCGACAAGGCTATTGTGGTAAAAAAAAAAAAAAAGTCTCTACTGATGTCTGCTGCCTCCAGCCTCCTCCTTATTGCAATGTTAAAAATCCATATTTCATGCTGTATAACAGTGTTAATACCACTGTATTCTGGTACATTTCCCTTTTTGCCCCCTCATGTATAAAGTTCTTGTTTACCAATGACTCGGACTTACTATGGGCTCTGTGTCCAGTATGCATACCTAAATAATGTATATTAGAGCTGATTGCTTCTCTTCTTTTTATTACAATATACAGTACATTACTGTATAAACATTTAAAAATATAAAAATGTTATAAATGGTGCAAAAGTGACATTAAAACAATATCAAAGATGGTTGACACAAACCCATTACCATTATAGTATACTCCTTGCTTTGCGACGAATTTGTTTACCGACGTGGTCTTAGGAACAGAACTCTGTTGTTAAGTGAGAAGAGGCTGTATCTGGATACATTTACCTCCTCCATTCTCCCTCCCTCCAACCTGATATCCACTCTAAATTTTTTTTTTTTTTTTGATGAACTGGGTGTATCCCACCAAGGCAGGGTGACCAAAAAAGAAAAATGAAGTTATTTTTTTTTTCCTTTTTAAATATAGAAATATATATTGGAAAAGGGGTTACTAGCCCCATGCTCCCAGCATTTTAGTTGCCTCTTATGACACACGTGGCTTATGGAAGAAGAAATTTTTCTCTACTGCCCCTTTCTAAAATTATTCAACTAAAATACAGTGGACCCCCGGTTAACGATATTTTTTCGATCCAGAAGTATGTTCAGGTGCCAGTACTGACCGAATTTGTTCCCAAACATACACATACAAACGCACTTACATAAATACACTTACATAATTGGTCGCATTCGGAGGTGATCGTTATGCGGGGGTCCACTGTACATTGTTTCAGGTTCTGCTTGGCAGTTTCTTCACTATATCCTTTGTAAATCTGAATTGATCCAGTAGAGTTCTTTCATGGTTATAACCTTATTTATCTTCTTTCAACAAACCAGCTGTATCCCACTGAGGCAGGGTGGCCTAAAAAGAAAAACGAAAGTTTCTCTTATTAAATTTAGTAGCATATACAGAAGAAGGGGTTACTAGCCCCTTGCTCCTGGTATTTTAGTGACCTCTTATTACACACATATGGCATATGGAGGAAGAATTCTGTTCCACTTCCCCACAGAGAGAGGAGGAAATTAACAATAACAAGAACTAGTAAGAAATGGAAGAAAAGACAGAAGGGTGTGTATATTTATGCTTGTACATGCATGTGTAGTGTGACGTAAGTGTAAGTAGAAGTAGCAAGACATACTTGAAACCTTGCATGGTTATGAGAAAGAAAAAAGACACCAGCAATCCTACCATCATATATAACAATTACAAGCTCCCATTTCACACTCATTTTTGCAGGACGGTAGTACCTCCTTGGGGGGTTGCTGCCTACCAACCTACTACCTAGGAACCTTATTTATATTTCCTGTATACTTGTCTTGTGTTTGTATACCTCAGTCTTAGATAGGTAATGTGGAAATAGACATATTCAACACTTGAGACATTTTATTATATATTTTGCCCATTTGGGGCTTTATCAACCCAGTTTATCAGGACTAATATACCTAGTTCGTGAACCATGAATAGGTAATGGTGTGAGATACTACCTGATAGTAAAAAAAGATGTAAATGCAATTATATGCATGCTTTGTTAGAAAAAATTTGCCTACACAGCTGATTTGTCAAATCACTTTATCAAGTGTTTTGAAAAAAGCCTACTTCATGGGTGAAGTGTTTTCAGTAAAAAATTCCATGTAACTGCATTTGTGTATGTTTAATCATGCCTTGATCACTAAGGTTTCAAAATTATTCCCTTATTTACTACTAATTTCATTCCCTGAGGTAATGACCTAATATTAATATATGTAAATTATTATAGTGTTTTAGTATTAATAATGAATCCAGTCCTCCCTGAATTATTACTAAGACCTAAATTTCCCCAGACAAGTTAGGGTTTATAGTGTGATGGTTTTCTAAGTGGCAGAGGGGTAACTCTATTACTGGCATGCAGCTTAAGATACTATATATAAACTTAATATTTACTAGCCTTTGGTGAGGGATATGGGTGTATGCACACAGATTTCCAGTGTCTGTCATTTTAAGCCCGTTGAACAAGTCAATCCCTAGTTTTGCAAACAAATATTTGAGCTTCAAAAATTGATTAGTACTCTGGGATTTACAGCAGGATAATTATTTTGGTTTAAATAATTTATAATTTTCTTTCTTCCTTGTAGGGTTAATCATTCTACTGTAGGAATTATTAAGCCTCAAACAAAAAGTAATGAGGCTGCACAACGAGAGATTGAGGAAGCAATGCGAAGAGTAAAAGAGGCTCAAAACTTCATTGCTTCTGCTATTGATCCTGTTATGTCTTTCCTAGACTCATCAAAGGAAAAAAGATCCAGGTCAAGATCACGGTGAGTATTTTCCTACTATGTTGAGCCCCTTTATCTTGAATATAGGAGATCCCCCAACTTACAAACTCCCTAAGGTACGCATATTGCCACTTACAAACTGGGGCACTAAAGAACCAGCTGAAGTCCTGCAGCTGCAATACACATGTGTTTGAGAAACATAACTATCCTTTGTACTGTTGCTTTCAATACAGTTGAAAAATCAATAATGCAACTTGTTTGTAAGTTGGGCTCCACCTGTATACATTTATGTATCAGTTGGTGTGATGTGGAGAGGAATAAATGGGCTGTGAAGTTTGACATTTTATTTGTTTATATATAGCATATACAGGATGTCTTCTAGGCATTTATTTTTGGACATGTGTGTTGAGAGATGTATCAGTTATGTCCAAGAAATATTTTGAATATAAAGAATTTATGGATTCTTCACAAAAGGACTACATTACAAGAAATAATCAGGTCTTGTTCATCAGGCCTTAAGAAACAGAAGCTCTGTATTCAACATGTGATCTATTATGTAACCTTAAGACCTGGTTCTGTTGAAGGATAGGAAAAAGTACTCAGATAATGTTTTATAAATAAGAAGTCTCAGATTGAAATTTAAATATCAGTTTTGTTTGATTTTGATTTTTATAGGAGCCGATCCCGATCACGCCGCCGCACTAGGTCTCGATCTCGACGCTCCAGATCTCACAGGAGAACCCGTTCTCGCTCGCATCATAGGACCCGGTCAAGGTCACGGTCCAGGTACTATTTGTGGTACTATTTGTGGTGATTGTTCTGTAGTGATGTGTATAATTGCCTCTTACTCATAGATGTATCTAGACAGGGGAAAAATATAATCTTAAAGCTGGCTTTTTAATTGGTCTTTCATTAAGTAATCTATTCTGATCAAAAGCATATATCCTCCTGGTTAAGGCCAAAAAAGTTATATAAAGCTTCATTTTTGCAAAATATAACTAGTTCTATTCAGCTAATGTTTTCATTTCCTTTAATGAACCACTCATGCTTATCTACCAGATTATGTCTACATTTATCTTGCTTCGATTCTGTGTTTCAATTGTTTGATGCTGTAATCCATCTGGGTATGTGCCTTCATTTTGGAGGTGTCCTCATGTAGGATGTTCCCCATACATATCAGCTACATTCAAGGTTAAGAAACCCTTGAAGCTCTGATTGACAAATTGTACATGTTGACTGTGACAGTCATACAAGAGTTTCCAGTTGCACATATTGAAAATAAGAATTTTGTGGAAAAGTTAAATGAGATTGCTTAAGCAAAAATCTATAAGTGAAGAGGAAAAGAATGTGCTGCTAAGCACTCACTGTTATTGTAGTGTGAGTATGGCCAAAGAAAATCTTCAGTGGGAGAGAAAGTATACTCTTCAATCCACATAGTAATGCTTCCATTGAGAGAACCTTTAATGGGAGAGTGTACACACTTTGCATGGTAGTGCATCCATTGAGAACCTTCATTGAGAGAGAGTACACTGTTCACATGGTAGTGCTTCCATTTACAATGGAAGCATCTGGTTTTTCATCTGCATGTATGAATTAAACATGAGTGAAGCTTTTTGCCTTAGGATTTTTCTGTGGTTCTCTTACTTTTAACAGAAAGCTTCCTTGGGAGAAATACAAAGATTTCCTCCTTTTTCATAACCTTTCTTGTAAATTAATTTTGCAAAGGACCAGCTGGTTTTGTTGGTTTAAACATCTGTTATGCTTCTCTTTCTTAGGTCTCCATTTTCCTTTTCATTTATACTTTTTTTTTATCTCATATCCTCATGATTCAGCTTCTGAGTATTTCAAGCGTCACATGACATGTCATAATTTAGAACTTGTGATAGACACCCCCAAAAACATTAATATTTTTGAAATTGGTATAGAGAAAATTAGAATAAAGATATATTCCTTTTTTGTAGAGATCGGCACCGGCGTTCACGCAGTCGCTCACGAAGGAAGAGATCATCCTCAAAGTCACGAAAGAAATCTAGATCAAGGTAAGAATATTTGTTGCTTCTGTGATATTTAACATCTAAACTGTGGCATACCTGGAAAAAACATTCCTGTGAGGGGAATCTGATTAAAACTTAAGATATTAGTGTGTGTTGAAGTTGGCAAAAAAATTATCACTTGTTGGGAACAGCAGCATAAATGCGACAGCGATATTTGAGTTTTACAATTTATTGATGCCGAATTATGTTTTATAGTTTTTTTTTTTTTAATGTTTAACACTTTACTTCTTCTTTCAAGAAACCGGCTGTATCCCACCAAGGTAGGGTGGCCCAAAAGAAAAAAACAAAGTTTCTTCTTTTAAATTGAGTAATATATACAGGAGAAGGCGTTACTAGCCCCTTGCTCCCGGCATTTTAGTAGCCTCTTATGACACAAGTGTAAGTAGAAGTAGCAAGACGTACCTGTAATCTTGCATATTTATGAGACAGACAAACGACACCAACAATCCTACCATCATGTAAAACAATTACAGGCTTTCGTTTTACACTCACTTGGCAGCACGGTAGTACCTCCCTGGGTGGTATTTGGGACCTGACGAGCTGTTGGAGTGTGAGCAGGGTAATATTTAGTGAAGGGATTCAGGGAAACCGGTTATTTTATTAACCGGTCTTGAGTCCTGGAATTGGGAAGTACAATGCCTGCACTCTAAAGGTGGGATTTGGGATATTGCAGTTTGGAGGGATTTTTTTTTTTTTTTTTTTCAACAAGTCGGCCGTCTCCCACCGAGGCAGGGTGACCCAAAAAGAAAGAAAATCCCCAAAAAGAAAATACTTTCATCATCATTCAACACTTTCACCTCACTCACACATAATCACTGTTTTTGCAGAGGTCCTCAGAACACAACTTCTAAACTGTTGTATTCTGGGCACCTCTACAAAAATAGTGATTATGTGTGGGTGAGGTGAAAGTGTTGAATGATGATGAAAGTATTTTCTTTTTTGGGGATTTTCTTTCTTTTTGGGTCACCCTGCCTCGGTGGGAGACAGCCAACTTGTTGAAAAAAAAAAATATGGATTTTCTTCTATTTTCTTTCTAGTTCTTGTTCTTGTTTATTTCCTCTTATCTCCATGGGGAAGTGGAACAGAATTCTTCCTCCGTAAGCCATGCGTGTTGTAAGAGGCGACTAAAATGCTGGGAGCAAGGGCCTAGTAACCCCTTCTCCCGTATAAATTACTAAATTTAAAAAGAGAAACTTTTGTTTTTCTTTTTGGGCCACCCTGCCTTGGTGGGATACGGCCGGTGTGTTGAAAGAAAGATATATATATATATCCTAGGTAGTAGGTTGGTAGACAGCAACCGCCCAGGGAGGTACTACTGTCCTGCCAAGTGAGTGGAGGCAAATGATTTTCATGACTTGATGTACTGTTGGAGTGTGAACAGAGTAACATTTATAAAGGGATTCAGGAAACTTGTTAGCCAGACGAGTCCTGGAGGTGGGAAGTATGGTGCATGCATTCTGAAAGAGGGGTGAAGATATGTTGTAGTTTTTGAACTACAGGCACTCCTCACTTAATGACCTACCTGTTTATGTCTGCTTGGACTTACGACCAGGTCTCTCTGACCAGTCGGTATTATACTCTCTACGAGAACCTTGATCATGGAGATGGCAGTGCTGTGTCTCGGCATCAAGCAGTCTCCAAGACTACATATTTTGTCTATAAATTTGTACTTTATTGTGCACCCCTATAGTACAAGATGGAGTTGGAAGTGCAGCAGCACTTTGAAGAAGAGGAATGAATGGAAGAAGTACAAAAAAGTTCACTGTAAAGGGGTTAGCTGGTATGTTCATTTGTTTGTTTACATTCTCTGCATCTCTCTCAATTACAATGGCATCTAATGGTCAGTAAGTTTATTCAGGTACAGGTATACATAAATACAGTTACATAAATTGTAATACATAACAGCATATGTGTAGATTACCCAGGATAACCCAAAAAGTCACTTTGTCTGACTCTTTTGGGTTATCCTGGGTGTAACTGTATTTATGTGTACCTGTACCTAAATAAATTTACCTTTAAATGCCATCGTAAACGAGAGATGCGGAGAATGTGAGCAGACGAACACACCAGCTAACCCCTGTACAGTGAACTAGGTATGTCAATGGCAATATTAATAATAATAAGAATAATAAGAATAATCACTTATTGAGTAAACGAGAGAGAAGAGAGAGAACAAGAGAGATGCCAAGAATGTAAACAAACATTTATGGTTGGTTCATACACGTTCATTTCACATACATTTGTGAAGCTTTTGCCACAATACAAACTTTCAAGAGCACACCAGCTAACCCTTTTCCAGTGAACTTATTTTATACTTCTTCTAGTCTTTCATCCTCTTCTTTTTCCTCTTTCTACAATAAATACCCACCTCTCACCCTACATTAAGACTTCAAATATTTTAAGGTAAGTAATGAGTGTACTCTGTGTATTTTACTTTTTTATTGTTTTTAATGCCTAGTTCTATTTTTAATATGCTAAAATTGTTATAAATGGTGCAAAGGTGGCATTAAAATAATATCTAAAAATGGTTGGCACAATCCCACTACCAGTACATTATGCTTGAAATATTGGTAAGGGGCAGCTCCTTGCTTATTGACCAATATGACTACCGACCTACTCATAGTAATGGAACTTGGTCGTTAAGTGAGAAGTGCCTGTATAGTATCAGCACACCTCTGGCAAGCCAGTGATAGAGTGAGTGATGAGGAAAGTGTTTTTTCTTTTTCAGATCACCATGCTGCTGCCACTGCCTCCTTCCCCGCCTCCTACTCTGCCTCCTCCTCTGCCTCCTCCTCTGCCTCCTTCCTCTCTGCCTCCTCCATCTCCTCCTCTGCCTCATCCTCCTCCTCCTCCTCCTCCTCCTCTGCCTCATCCTCCTCCACTGCCTCATCCTCCTCCACTGCCTCATCCTCCTCCACTGCCTCATCCTCCTCCACTGCCTCATCCTCCTCCTCTGCCTCATCCTCCTCCTCTGCCTCATCCCCTCCTCTGCCTCCTCCTCCCCTCTGCCTCCTCCTCCTCCTCTGCCTCCTCCTCCTCCTCTGCCTCATCCTCCTTCTGCTCATCCTCCTCTGTCTCATCCTCCTCTGTCTCATCCTCCTCTGCCTCATCCTCCTCTGCCTCATCCTCCTCTGCCTCATCCTCCTCTGCCTCATCCTCCTCCTGCCTCATCCTCCTCCTCCTTCTCCTCCTCCTCCTCCTCCTTCTCCTCCTCCTCCTCCTCCCTCCTCCTCCTTCTTCTCCTCCATCTCCTCCTCTTCCATCTCCTCTTCTCCTCCTCCTCCTCCTCCTCCTCTCCTCCTCCATCTCCTCCTCCTCCTCCATCTCCTCCTCCTCCTCCATCCTCCTCCTCCTCCATCTCCTCCTCCTCCATCTCCTCCTCCTCCTCCATCTCCTCCTCCTCCTCCTCCATCTCCTTCTCCTCCATCTCCTCCTCCTCCTCCATCTCCTCCTCCTCCTCCTCTTCCTCCATCTCCTCCCTCTCCTCCTCTCCTCCCTCTTCCCCATCTCCTCCTCTGCCTCCCTCCCCCTCCTCTGCCTCCCTCCCCCTCCTCTGCCTCCTTCCCCCTCCTCTGCCTCCCTCCACCACCTCTGCCTCCCTCCTCCTCCTCTGCCTCCCTCCTTCTCCTCTGCCTCCCTCCACCTCCTCCTCCTCCTCCCCATCATCATCAGTAAATTTTTAAGACTAGTTTTGGGCAGTTATAGAATAGAACAAGTTTTTACTGTATATTATATGAAGGAACACAGCATTGTGCCATTTTTTCTGTATTATTTTTCTTGCAGATCACGCTCTCGAAGGAAGTCGCGATCCAAGTCCCGTTCAAAGAGATCTAGATCAAAGTCCAAGACTAAATCTAGCTCCTCTTCACGAAAAGAGAAGAGCAGCAGCAGCAGCAGCAGTAGCAGTAAAAGTAAGGACAAAGATAAGGAGAAAAGTAAAGATAAAGAGAAGGATAAAGAGAAGGATAAAGATAAAGAGAAGGATAAGGAGAAGAGAGAAGAAAAAAAATTAGAAACCATCAAAGAGGAGCCACTGGAGCCAAGCAAGTCAGAGGAAACCAAGAAAGATGAGACTAAACCTGAGGACATGAAGGAAAAGGAGAAGGAAAAAGAACCTGAAAAGAAAAAAGAGGTCAGTTGTCAGCATCACATTAAACATAAGTAAATATCACACTGCCAAGAATTTTATTGAGAGTAACCGGTGGAGAAAGGGAATCACTTTAAGAGATGGTTGAAAATCTAGTACAGGGAGGTTTGTAACACCAAACCTATTTTTTTTTTTTTTAACATGTCTGCCATCTCCCACCGAGGCAGCGTCACCCAAAAAAGAACCACTTTCACATCATTCAACACTGTCACCATCATTAACACATAATCACTGTCTTTGCAGAGGGACCCAGATATGACAATTTAGATATCACTCCCAACAGCCAATATCCCAAACTCCTCCTTTAAAGTGTAGGCATTGTATTTACCACCTCCAGAACTGAAGTCTGGCTAACTAGTTTCCCTGAATCCCTTCATAAAATATTACCCTGCTCTCACTCCAACAGCTCGTCAAGTCCCAAAATCATTCATCTCCATTCACCCCTATCTAATACGCTTACACATGCCTGCTGTATGTCCAGGCCCCTTGCACACAAAATATCTTTTACCTCCTCCCTCCATCCTTTTTCTAGGATGACCCCCTTCCCCTCCTCCCTTCCACTACAGATTTATACCCCCTCCAAATCACCCTATTTTGCTCTAGCCTCTCTAAATTACCAGACTGACTCAACAACCCGTCATCACTCCTCTGAATATTTTTAGTAACTCCACATCTCCTCCTAATTTCCACACTACAAATTCTCTGCACAATATTTACACCACATCTCCTCCTAATTTCCACACTACAAATTCTCTGCACAATATTTACACCACTCGTTGCCCTTAGACACTACATCTCCACTGCCTCAAGCCGCTGCCTCCTGCAGCATTTATGACCCATGCTTCACACCCATATAAGAGTGGTGGTGCCACTGTACTCTAATTCATTACCTTCTTTGCCTCCATGGATAACATTCTTTGTCTCCACAGATACATCAGTGCACCACCCACCTTTTTTCCTTCATCATTTCTATGGCTTACCACCACCTTCATAAACCCATCCACCAACATATCTACTCTCAAATATCTGAACACAATTCACTTCCATACTTCCTCCAATCTGATATCCAATTTACCTAATTCGTTTGATAATCTCATCACCTTACTCTTATCTGTGGTCACTTTCAACTTTCTTCCTTTACAAGCCCTCCCAAACTCATCCACCAACCTTTGCAACTTTTCTTTAGAATCTCCCAAAAGCACAGTATCATCAGCAAAAAGTAACTGTGTCAATTCCCATTTTGTATTTGATGCCCCATAATTTAATTCCACCCCTTTCCCCAACATCCTAGCATTTACTTTTTTTACAACCCCATTGATAAGTATGTTAAGACAACCATGGTGACATTACACATCCCTATCTAAGGCCAACTTTTACTGGAAAGTAATTTCTCTCCCCTACATACTCTAACCTGAGCCTTACTTTTTTTTTTTTTTTCAACAAGTCGGCCGTCTCCCACCGAGGCAGGGTGACCCAAAAAAGAAAGAAAATCCCCAAAAAGAAAATACATTCATCATCATTCAACACTTTCACCACACTCACACATTATCACTGCTTTTGCAGAGGTGCTCAGAATACAACAGTTTAGAAGCATATATGTATAAAGATACACAACATATCCCGCCAAACTGCCAATATCCCAAACCCCTCCTTTAAAGTGCAGGCATTATACTTCCCATTTCCAGGACTCAAGTCCGACTATATGAAAATAACCGGTTTCCCTGAATCCCTTCACTAAATATTACCCTGTTCACACTCCAACAGATCGTCAGGTCCCAAGTATCATTCGTCTCCATTCACTCCTATCTAACACGCTCATGCACGCTTGCTGGAAATCCAAGCCCCTCGCCCACAAAACCTTTACCCCTCTTTCCAACCCTTTCGAGGACGACTCCTACCCCTCCTTCCTTCCCCTATAGATTTATATGCTTTCCATGTCATTCTACTTTGATCCATTCTCTCTAAATGACCAAACCACCTCAACAACCCCTCTTCTGCCCTCTGACTAATGCTTTTATTAACTCCACACCTTCTCCTAATTTCCACACTCCGAATTTTCTGCATAATATTTACACCACACATTGCCCTTAGACAGGACATCTCCACTGCCTCCAACCGTCTCCTTGCTGCTGCATTTACCACCTTTCTTTGCTTCCATAGATAACGTTTTTTGACTCCACATATACCTCAACGCACCACTCACCTTTTTTCCCTCATCAATTCTATGATTAACCTCATCCTTCATAAATCCATCCGCCGACACGTCAACTTCCAAGTATCTGAAAGCATTCACTTCTTCCATACTCCTCCTCCCCAATTTGATATCCAATTTTTCTTTATCTAAATCATTTGATACCCTCATCACCTTACTCTTTTCTATGTTCACTTTCAACTTTCTACCTTTACACACATTCTCAAACTCATCCACTAGCCTTTGTAATTTTTCTTTAGAATCTCCCATAAGCACAGTATCATCAGCAAAAAGTAACTGTGTCAATTCCCATTTTGAATTTGATTCCTCATAATTTAATCCCACCCCTCTCCCGAACACCCTATCATTTACTTCTTTTACAACCCCATCTATAAATATATTAAACAACCATGGTGACATTACACATCCCTGTCTAAGACCTACTTTTACCGGGAAGTATTCTCCCTCTCTTCTACACACCCTAACCTGAGCCTCACTATCCTCATAAAAGCTCTTTACAGCATTTAGTAAATTACCACCTATTCCATATACTTGCAACATCTGCCACATTGCTCCCCTATCCACTCTATCATATGCCTTTTCTAAATCCATAAATGCAATAAAAACTTCCCTACCTTTATCTAAATACTGTTCACATATATGCTTCAATGTAAACACTTGATCTACACATCCCCTACCCACTCTGAAGCCTCCCTGCTCATCCTGAGCCTTACTATCCTCATAAAAAAACTTTACGACATTTAGTAACTACCTATTCTGTACACTTATAAGATCTGCGACATTGCTGCCCTATCCACCCTATCATATGCCTTTTCTAAATCCAAAAATGCAGTGAAAACTTTCCTACTTTTATCTAAATATTGTTCACCTGTATACTTCAGTGTAAACACTTGGTCTACACACACCCTACCTATTCTGAAGCCTCTTGCTCATCTGTGATCCTGTTCTGTCTTTCCTATAATTCTTTCAATAATAACCCTATCATACACTTTACCTGGTATACTCAGTAAACTTCTTCCCCTATAATTTTTACATTCTCTTTTGTCCCCTTTCCCTTTGTAAAAAGGAACTATACACACACTCTGCCAATCCCTAGGTACCTTCTCTTTCATACATTTATTGAACAAAAATACCAACCACTTAAAAACTATATCCCCACCTGCTTTTAACATTTCTATCATGATCCCATCAGTTCCAGCTACTTTACCCCTTTCATTTACCAAGTGCCTTGCACACCTCCCCCCCACTTATCTGGCTCATCACTCCTAAGTGATGTTATACTTCCCTGGCCAATGCATGAAATTACTGCTTCCCTCTCTTCATCAACATTTAACATTTCCTCAAAACATTCCTGCCATCTTCCCAATGTCTCCAACTCCCCATCCACTAACTCCCTATTCTGTTTTAAACTGTCAAATCCATTTGTTCCTTAGGCTTTCTTAACCTATTTATCTCTGGAATTTTTTCTTATTTTCAGCAAAATTTGTTGGCAGCACCTCACCCACTATTTGCTTTCCTTTTCCACTCCCTACTGAAACTCTCCTACCTCCTTCAGCTTTGTTTCATTTAGAGAACGACAATACGGTTCAAAGGATGATTGTTAAATACATGTTCATAACTAGATCATCATTCAAAAAAACAATTATTTTATCAATTTGTCTTTTGGACCTTATTCCTAAGTGGAGATAGTTATAACTTGGGTGCCTGGAAACTGGGTACCATGGTATTTTCTTTTTATTAGTGTCTGCTTATCTTGCACAGGAAATTGTGAATAGAAATGACATCCAATAAAGGTGAATTGTATACAGCAATCTTTCATAAAGTGTAGAAATTTAGGTTCAATTAATATGGCTTAATGTAATTTAATTTTAGTCATGTAATTGGGATTTTTTTAATTTCAGGCCAGCAAGTCCCGTCGCTCACGCTCTCGCAGTAGGTCTCGGGATCGTAAGAGTCGACGAACACGGTCTCGCTCACATAGCAAGAGAGCATCACGATCTCGTTCACGTTCAAGAAGTCGGACTAAAGCAAAAAGGTCACATAGGTCAAGATCTAGGTAAGACTATGTGTAAAGTATTTTAAATGCTAGTTAGTACAGGCAAGCACCGCTTATACAGCAGGTTATGTTCCTGGTTACTATTGTACAGTATACCTGGAGGGTGTTCAGAGGGTCAATGACCAGGCCTCACAGTGGATCAGGGCCTGATCAACCAGGCTTTTACTGCTAGCTATATGCAGACTGACATATGAACCACAGCTGGCTGGTCAGGTACTTTAGGTGTCTGTCCAGCTCCCTCTTGAAGACAGCTAGGGGTTTATTGGTAATCCCTCTTATCTATACTGGGAGGCAGTTGAACAGTCTTGGGCCTCTGATACTTATTGTGTTGTCTCTTAGTGTACTCTTGGCTTTTCATTGGGGAGATGTTGCACAGCCTGCATAGTCTTTTGCTTTTGTAGAGAGTGTTTTCCATGTGTAGATTTGGGACTAATCCCTCTAGGATTTTCCAAGTGTATATTATCATGGATCTTTCTTGCCTGCAATCCAAGGAGTACAGGTCAAGGACCTTCAGCTGTTCCCAGTAATTTAGGTGTTCAATGGGACTAATACATGCAGTGAAAGTTCCCTGTATATTCTCTATGTCTGCAGTTTTGCATGCCTTGAAAGGGGCTGTTAGTATACAGCAATATTCCAGCCTAGAGAGAACAAGTGATTTGAAGAATATCATCAGTGAATGTTCTCATTATCCATCCTATCATTTTCCTAGCAGATGTGGTAGATACATTGTTGTGATCTTTGAGAGTGAGATTCTCTGACATTACCACTCCCAGGTCCTTCACGTTAGTTTTGCTTTATTGTGTAATTGGAATTTCAATTACTCCGTAGCAGAGTAATTGAAATTTGTCTTCATTGAGCTTCATGTTGTTTTCTGATGCCCATTTGAAGACTTAGTTAATGTCCTCTTGGGGATATGCAGTGTCCTTGATGGATGACACAGTCATGCAAATTCTGGTATCATCAGCAATGGACGACATTGTGCTGTGGCTTACATCTCTGTTTGTGTCAGGTATGAGAATGAGAATGAGGAAAAGGATGGGGAAAAAGTACTATACCTTGTGGAATACTTATAAAAGCCTGATAACTTGTTTACACTGTCATATATTGAGCAATAGAGCTAGGTCTAAAAAATGCACATACAGTACACCCATTTCTCATCTTTAGCTTATATTGAGTGGTGAATATATTTATTGTTGGAAGTCTGAATAAATGAAGAATACTTATAATTTAAAACAGATTCATTAGCAAAACACTGTAAAGCGAAGTGCTGTAAAGTGGGGCCCACCTGTATGTGTAAATGCTTGTAATGATTACCATCAGGTTCATTAGTATGAGCCTGAAAATACTGACCATGTTGCAGGAAATCCTTTATTACTTTGACATTTTGCCTAGAGCTAGTCTTTATCAAATATGCAGGAAATGCTTACAAGCACCCACCATCCCCACTCCCACCCCCAACCACTATCACTGCTGCTGCCTCCTCCTCCTCCTTTTGCTCTACCACTCCTGGTCCTGCACCCCTCTTGTACATATACTTGCTCCCTTCCCTTTGCGCTTATGTGACTAATTTTTGGTGCAGTCAACCGAAACATCGTCATAAGTTTGTCTCGTGTAGGGATTATTTGTGTATTGTTCCAACCACAGTATTGTGCCTTTTTATTCTTTTAACATAACATTCTAATAATCTAAAGCAGTCTTGATTGTCTTGTCGTTTTAAGCTAGTTTTAATGTTGCCCAAAATTCTCTGCATAATATATCCTTATAATAAGTATATACTGTATTTACTATGTCTATGAAAGATAAGGTGAACCATAGAAATGAGGAAGGAGGGAAAAGGTGTGTGGTGCATTGAGGCATCTGTGGAGATAAAGAATGTTATGCATGGAGGTAAAAAGGGATACGTATCTGACACAATTATACAGTTTCTCCTCACTTAACCTGACCTTCGTTTAGGAACAGAACTCTTAGGAGTTCTGTTCCTAAGAGTAGGTCAGTAAACAAATTGGTCTTAAGCAAGGAGCACACTGTACTGGTAGTGGGTTTGTGTCAACCATCTTTAGATATTGTTTTAATGTCACCTTTGCACAATTTATAACATTTTTACTATATTTTTAAATGTTTATACAGTAGTGTAAAGTATTTTGTTATAAACAGAATAGAAGAAATCAGCTATAATATACATAAGTATGCATACTGGTCAGAGAGCTGGTTGTGAGTCTGAGCGGTCGTTAAGTGAGTACTTCGTTAAGTGAGGAGAGACTATGGGTGTGAAGTATGGGTTTTAAATGTTCCAGAGAGGAGGAGGGGGCAGGAGGCATTGGAAGTGTCGTATCAAAGGGCAATGTGTGGTGTGAATATTATGCAGAGAATTCGTAGTTTGGAGATTAGGAGTAGTTGTGGGGTTGCGAAAAGTATTATCTATAGGGCTGAGGAGGGGTTGAGGTGTTTTGAACCTATAGAGAGGATGGAGCAAAATAGGATGACTTGCAGGGTATATAAATCTGTAGTGGAGGAAAGAAGGGGTAGGAGTTTTCTTAGTAAAGGTTAGAGGGTGGGGGGTAAAGGTTTTGTATGCAAGGGGCCTGGATATCCAAAATGTGTGTGAGTGTTTTAGGAATGAGTGGAGACAGGTGGTTTTTATGATTGAACGTGCTGTTGGCATGTGAGCAAGGTAACATTTTTAAGTACAGTGGTCCCTCGCTTTTCGTAGTTCTCGGCAATCGTAAATTTCGCCAATCATAGGGGTATTTTTGTATAAACATGGACTCGCTTTTCATAGGTTGACTCGCGAATAGTAGTTCGTCCGGGACGCGTACGCACGATGTGAGCCGGGGCAGCCTCCCTACCCAGCCAGTCTGGCATTGTTTACCAGTGAGTGAAGGTCCCCTCAAGTGCTCCTAAGAAATATTTCATAATATTCCACTCATTTTAGTGCTTGCAATTACTAAATAAGCTACCATGGCTCCAAAGAAAGCTCCTAGTGCCAAGCCTGTAGTAAAGAAGGTGAGAAATATGTACAGTGACAAAGTCTTGGGCCATTTTCGGGAAGTGTTAAAGAGACGCCAGAAACAGAGCTCTCTCCACAGTTACTTTACGAGACAGGACTAGAGTGACTCTCAAGGTGGTCCTAGTGACATTAAGAAACAGAGAAGAGAAGCAACCCCAGAGAAGCAATTGGTACCTGAGGTGTTGCTGGAAGGGGATTCCCCTTCCAAACTGTAAACAATCCAATCTCTCTCCTCCTCCAGTCTCCCATACACTAAGAAGAATCTCCAATGAAGGTAAGTGTTATGCTGTTAATGTTTCATTCATCATTTCCCATTGTATTGTTTATGTACTATATGTATATTTCATGTAAAAATTTTTTTTGTTTTAATACTTCTGGGTGTCAGGAACAGATTAATTGTATTTACATTATTTCTTATGGGGAAAATTGATTCGCAAATCGTAAATTTCGTTTATAGTAATGGCTCCAGGAACGGATTAATTACGAAAAACGAGGGACCACTGTAATTCAGAGAGACTGGTTAGCCAGACTTGAGTCCTGGAGGTGAGAAGTACAATGCCTGCACTCTGAAGGAGGGGTAAGGATATTGTAGTTTGAAGGGGCATCTGACCTGTAATGTTGGTGCTCATTTGGCAGGATGGTCATGGTATAAGTGGTGATGAAAGTATTTTTTCTTTTTTGGGGTCACCTTTTCTCAGTGGGAGAAGGCTGGTGTGTTAGAAAAAAAAGTCATTTTCAACTACAACATAAACATTGTGCTGTAAACAAGTTGACATTGGTTTAGGAATACTACCACAGGGAAAGTATAGACTCTATTGGTTTTCCTGTGATGGTTCTTATCTTTTGGCTTGTCACATTGTGATGAATGGTTTTGAAAACCAACAAGTTGAAGATTGAGACACTTGTGCAACATATGGGAATCTTTATTTAGGAAATGTTTCGCCATGCAGTGGCTTCATCAGTCCAATACAAAGCAGAAGGGTTTAAGGTGAGGAGGAGTCTGAGGTAATCAGTCCGTTGGCCTGGAGTCGATGTGTTCAGTCCATCAGTCTTGTACAATGATGGACTGAACACATCCAGGCTGAGGGACTGATTACCTCAAATTCCTCCTTTCCTTAAACCCTTCTGCTTTGTATTGGACTGATGAAGCCACTGTGTGGCGAAACATTTCCTAAATAAAGATTCCCATATGTTGCATAAGTGTCTCAATTGTCACATTGTGCCAAGAGGTAATCATGCATTTCTTCGCTTACACCCTCTATCTTGCAAGTGGTTCTTTTCTAATTTTTACATTTTGCATTGGGTTGGCAAACATTGGTTTAAGCATTCGTCATTCTTTAGATATACCATTTTTGTAAAAGCAGATGACGGCTACTTTCTTTATACACGAACCTGATTGATGTTCAAGTATTTTATCATAAGTCTTCAGTACTAAGCACTGTATGAATGGTCTGAAGATGCTACATAATAATCTTTCAGGGATAACAAGGCTTTATATTTGCATGCAAATGTAAAGCCTTGTTAAAAGTAGTGTTGAAAAAAGTAAATTTAGTAGGTACTGTAGTAATAAATTGGTGCCCCTTGGCCTGGTGGCAAAAGCTCTTGCTTCACACTTTGAGGGCTCAGGTTTGATTCCCGGCGAAGAGGTGGAAACATTGGACGTGTTTCCCTACATTAGTTGTCTATGCTCACCCATCAGTAAAATGGGTACCTGGGTGTTAGTCGACTGGTGTGGGTCACATCCTGGGACAAAACTGACCTAATTTACCCAAAATGCTCTGCATAACAAGCAGCTTTCTATATATGTAGTAGTGTGTCATTGATGTCAGCTAGGTCTGTATACCTTGTACTTGTAGTTAATAAAGATTTTTTTTTTTCAACACGTCGGTCGTCTCCCACCGAGGCAGGGTGACTCAAAAAGAAAGAAAATCCCCAAAAAGAAAATACTTTCATCATCATTCAACACGTTCACCTCACTCTGGTCTTTGCAGAGGCACTCAGATACGACAGTTTAAAAGTCAACCTCCAAACTGCCAATATCCCAATATCCCAAACCCTTCCTTTAAAGTGCAGGCATTGTACTTCCCATTTCCAGGACTCAAGTCCGGCTAACTGGTTTCCCTGAATCCATTCACAAAATATTATCCTGCTCATACTCCAACAGCCCGTCAGGTCCCAAAAACCATTTGTCTCCATTCACTTGTATCTAACACGCTCACACATGCTTGCTGGAAGTCCAAGCCCCTCGCCCACAAAACCTCTTTTACCGCCTCCCTTCAACCTTTTCGAGGACACCCACTACCCCGCCTTCCTTCCCCCTACAGATTTATATGCTCTCCAAGTCATTCTACTTTGATCCATTCTCTCTAAATGACCAAAACACCTCAACAACCCCTCTTCAGCCCTCTGACTAATACTTTTAGCAACTCCACACCTCCTCCTAATTTCCACACTCCGAATTATCTGCATAATATTTACACCACACATTGCCCTTAGGACATCTCCACTGCCTCCAGCCACCTCCTTGTTGCAGCATTTGCAACCCAAGCTTCACACCCATATAAGAATGTTGGTACCACTATACTTTTGTACATTCCCTTCTTTGGCTCCATGGATAACATAAAGATATCATTATTATTATTTTTAATATTTACCTTTTTTATCTATGTTGTATACTTAAACTCTTCTGGTGACCAATTCCAAGAGTTTTTACTCATGCAGCCCATCTTGAGGCCAGACACTCTTGGTTACTGCTTGATCAATGAGGCTGTTGCTGTCCATGAAAACAGTTAAGTTCATAATACAGTTTTAAGAAAAGGTTTTTGCATTGCTGACATACAATTCTTCAATTTTTTTGGTATAGGTCACACTCGAGACGCAGATCTCGTAGTAAGTCTCGCTCCCGCAGAGATCGATCCAGAGATCGCCGTGGTCGTTCACATGAACGTTCAAGGAGAAGGTCAAGGTCGTCATCAAGATCAAAGTAAGTTTTAATTTTAACAGTAATCTATATTCTTTGAAGTCTGCATAAATGCACTCTGCTCATTCATTTTTTCTTGTATAATTTCCAATTCTTTTGTAGTAGCTCATGAGATTGCATATGCAGCACCTTGCTCATCTCAAGTTAATTTGTTTAACCCCTTCACCACTTGTGCCATAGTACTACGGGTTTGAGGTCACTGTCCATGCTGTAGTACTACACCATGAGCTCGGTTCACTCAGATAAGCCGTGAGCAGTAAATACGGGCTAGATTGGGTCTGTGCAGTAAGTGTGCACTATATAAAAAAAATCCTGCAAAATGCAATGCATAAAAAATCTGAGACCTTGTTTTTGGTTTAAAACAGCAACTGTGGTGTACGTATTTTCATATGATTATTATGGTTGTATTCTCAGTTTCCTGGTCTCATTTGATAAAATGAAAGATATGTTATAGAAGTAGAGATGATTTTAATTGGTTTCAGGACTGAAAATAGCTTGAAATTGAGCTCAGAGTAGTGGAAATGTTTGTGACAGATCAGGTCACTCATCCAGTACACGTCCAACTGGTGGGTCTAATATGCGTTTATGAATGAGCTGATATTATTTGTACAATTATTGTAATATTGCATAACAATCTATTTTTTGTATGAATAGAAATTCAAAATGGAGTTCATGTGGAAAGCCTGGGAACATAACTAATGAACAGAAGAAATGTTATTTTAGTGCCAGGAGTGCCTGCATTGTTTATTCTGGACCCTATTTTGAAATTGGAATATTTTGAAATTTGTGTGAAATTGGCCAAATTACTAATTTCTGATCACTTTATTAGGTAGCTGAAATAGTTGATCGGGCAGTTTCTTGTGCTTAGTCAGTAAGTGGAAGACTTCTTTTTTCAACAAACTGGCTGTATCCCACTGAATCAGTGTGGCCCAAAAAGAAAAATACAAGTTTCTCTTTTTAACATTAGTAATGTATACAGGAGAAGTGGTTACTAGCCCCTTGATCTTGGCATTTCACGACATGCATGGCTTACGGAGGAAGAATTCTGTTCTACTTTTCCATGGAGATGAGAGGAAATAAACAAGAATGAGAACTGGTAAGAAAATAGAAGAAAACCCAGAGGGGTGTACTCACCTATTTGTACTCACCTATTTGTGGTTGCAGGGGTCGAGTCACAGCTCCTGGCCCCGCCTCTTCACTGATTGCTACTAGGTCCTCTCTCTCCCTGCTCCATGAGCTTTATCATACCTCGCCTTAAAACTATGTATGGTTCCCGCCTCCACTACTTCACTTTCTAGGCTATTCCACGGCTTGACTACTCTATGACTGAAGAAATACTTCCTAACATCCCTTTGATTCATCTGAGTCTTCAACTTCCAATTGTGACCTCTTGTGTCTGTGTCCCATCTCTGGAACATCCCGTCTTTGTCCACCTCGTCTATTCCGTGCAGTATTTTATATGTTGTTATCATGTCTCCTTTGACCCTCCTTGCCTCCAGTGTCGTCAGGCCGATTTCCCTCAACCTTTCTTCGTAGGACAATCCCCGTAGCTCTGGGACTAGTCTTGTTGCAAACCTTTGCACTTTCTCTAATTTCTTGATGTGCTTGACTAGGTGTGGATTCCAAACTGGTGCTGCATACTCCAGTATGGGCCTGACGTAAATGGTATACAGAGTCTTGAACGAATCCTTACTGAGGTATCGGAACGCTATCCGTAGGTTTGCCAGGCGCCCGTATGCTGCAGCAGTTATCTGATTGATGTGCGCCTCGGGAGATATGCTTGGTGTTATACTCACCCCCAGATCTTTTTCCTTGAGTGAGGTTTGCAGACTTTGGCCGTCTAAACTATATTGTGTCTGTGGTCTTCTTTGCCCTTCCCCAATCTTCATGACTTTGCATTTGGCAGGGTTAAACTCAAGGAGCCAGTTGCTGGACCAGGCTTGTAGCCTGTCCAGGTCTCTTTGTAGTCCTGCCTGATCCTCATCCAATTTGATTCTTCTCATTAACTTCACATCGTCCGCAAACAAGGACACTTCTGAGTCTATCCCTTCCGTTATGTCATTCACATATACCAAGAACAGCACAGGTCCTAGGACTGACCCCTGTGGAACCCCGCTTGTCACAGGAGCCTACTCTGACACCTCGTCACGTACCATGACTCGTTGTTGCCTCCCTGTCAGGTATTCTCTGATCCATTGCAGTGCCTTTCCTGTTATGTGTGCCTGATCCTCTAGCTTTTGGAGTAACCTCTTGTGAGGAACTGTGTCGAAGGTCTTCTTGCAGTCCAAAAAAATGCAGTCGATCCACCCTCTCTCTCTTGTCTTACTTCTGTCACCTTGTCATAAAACTCTAGTAGGTTTGTGACACAGGATTTTCCCTCCCTGAAACCATGCTGGTTGTCAATTATATACTTGTTTCTTTCCAGGTGCTCCACCACTCTCCTCCTGATGATCTTCTCCATGACCTTGCATACTATACATGTTAGTGATACAGGTCTGTAGTTTAGTGCCTCATGTCTGTCTCCCTTTTTAAAAATTGGGACTACATTTGCCATCTTCCATACCTCAGGGAGTTGCCCAGTTTCAAATGATGTGTTGAAGATCTTGTTAACGGTACACACAATATCTCTGCTCCCTCTTTAAGGACCCACGGAGAATGTTGTCTGGTCCCACCGCCTTTGAGGTGTCAAGTTCGCATAGCAGCTTCTTCACCTCCTCCTTGGTTATATGTACCTCATCCAGCACTTGCTGGTGCACCCCCCTGCTCTGATTTCCTGGAGTCCTACTGGTTTCCACTGTAAATACTTCTTTAAATCTTGTGTTGAGCTCCTGACATACCTCCCGGTCGTTTCTTGTGAATTCCCCATCACCCTTCCTCAGTCTGATTACCTGGTCCTTGAATGTTGTTTTCCTCCTGATGTGGCTGTACAACAGCTTCGGATCAGTCTTGACTTTCGATGCTATGTCATTTTCGTATTGCCGCTGAGCCTCCCTTCTTATCTGTGCATATTCGTTTCTGACTCTTCGGCTAATCTCTTTATTTTCCTGAGTTCTCTGTCTTCTGTACCTTTTCCATTCTCTAGTACACCTAGTTTTTGCCTCCCTACACCTTTGGGTGAACCAAGGACTCGTTCTGTTCTTCCCATTATTTCTGTTTCCCTTAGGAGCAAACCTCTCCTCTGCCTCCTTGCATTTTGTTGCCACATAATCCATCATTGTGTGTGTATATATATGTGCTTGTACATACATGTGTAGTGTGACCTAAGTGTAAGTAGAAGTAGTAAGATGTACCTGAAATCTTGCATGTATATGAGACAGAAAAAAGACAGCAGCAATCCTACCATCGTGTAAAACAATTACAGGCTTTCGTTTTACACTCACTGGCAGGGCGGTAGTACCTCCCTGGGCGGTAGCTGTCTACCAATCTACTACCTAGGAGAATGGAAAACATACTAACAAAATAGCTAAGAATTTGGTCAACTGGAACAATGTAATTGGCACAAAATAGGACTCAGTGTCCAAAATCACCAGTGTGTAAATATGGCCGACACAAAAATTTGCGAAAGCGTAATTTCGTTAGTTTTCCGTCAAATTTCATACTTTTGGTTTCATTACCTTTTGAAAGAGATTCTTTATCATTTCATAAGACTTTTTTTTATTTTTTTTAACAGTAATTCTCAGATCAGGGGTCTGGACAATGAGAGGGTTAATAGTTGGTAAATTATTACTCCTGGAACTGGATGAAATTCTCACACCACAAGTGTTCTGTGCAAGCATTGAAATTTCTTGAAACATTGGTAGATAAGTGATAAATAGAGCCAATATGAATATCATTTGTCAAACTGCTGGCCTCATATGAAGTTGCCAGTCAAACATTAGTTATTAATGCACTTCTGTAGCTGTTGTACTTTGGTAGAGATGAATAAACAGAAAGGTGGATGGGGGGCTTGAACTGTGGTCCCAAGATTACATGATAAGCTGTGAGGCTTCTAATAGAAAAGTTTCATAGAAGGTGCTGCTGTGGCCTGTCTGCATCAGTGGCCACTGTCTGGAACCTTTTCCACAGTCCCAGCAGCCTTCAAAGTAAATCTGTTCTCACTACCCTCAAAGCCACAGTCTATGAACCCAATTCAAGTCCTAGTGAACAACTGTTAATGAATAAACATAAAGGTGGACAGGGGGCTTGAACTCTGGTCCCAAGATTAACAAGTCCAGCACTTTACCTGTTAATCTTAGGACCATGGTCTGAGCTCCCTGTCCACCTTTCTATTTATTCATTGACAGTCATTCACTACCACTTGAATTGAGTTCACATAACATAAGCATTGCCTGTTAACAAACCTCTTTCTATACTTAATTCACTTAGCACCTCCATTATCGTTTACTCCTGGCACTCCAATTATGCTCGCCACAATAGTTTCTTCCACTTAGCATTTAGGTCTCTCCCCTCAACAATTATTCTCTCACGTGGTCACCCTGCATCGGTGTGAGACAGCCAGTGTGTTTGAAAAAAAAACATTCAATACTTCTCAAAATCTCAACTTCCTCTACACATTTTTTGCCTAGGTACATCTCTAATCTACATAATTCTTCAATATATACACTTATACCCACTCTTTTCCTTCTATAGTTGATTAATATTACCATTTTCCCATATTTAGGTCTAGTTCTGTCAGACACATCTGAATTAACCCCATTTATTTATCACTACAGAAATTCTCCCACATTATAATATGAACAGAAATTAACAAGAATGCTCCTGGTGGCTGATGGCTATTACTTCTAATACTTCTTAATAACAAAGTACATATTATGTGTAGTATTTTAGACAGGCCTTAAGGTAATGATTGAAATATGGTATATTAGTTTATTTGACGGTTTATTGATAATACTGTACTATCAACTGATTTTTTTATTATAGCTATAAATGTTAGAGTACATAGGAAAGAGGGAAATTATTTCCCAGTAAAAGTAGGCCTTAGACAAGGGTGTGTGATGTCACCGTGGTTGTTTAAAATATTTA